AATCACGTCTGGCGTGGCTAAACCCACACCTAGCCCTATTTAAGGAAGAAAGTCTTTGCTTAACTTATGCCTAGTGTCACTCCATTGGTGCCTGACGTCATTCAGGTAGAGAGTTTTTATCTTGCTCATGTTGAGTACCACTCAACTTGGGCTTGACATCACCAAGTTAGTGATGTTTCTCTTTCATCATGTTGATGCCATTCAACCCATATTTGACGAGAGTGAGATAGAGAGCCTCTAGCTCATGTCACACTCAGTGCCTCGAAGCTACGGCTAACACAATGGTGAAATATGTACTCAACTGAATCAAAAATTGTCACAAACCACCTAAAACTTACAAGAATCAAAGCATGTAATACAATCAAACATATCCAATTATCCCATAAAACTCATTTCTCATCAAACTAATAAAATGCAACCACCAATTGGCTAAAATCACTAAAATCACCTCAATATACTTCAAACACCTTAAACTCATCAAAACATGACTTTCATCATTGAATCATCAAGACAACCATGTTTTGGTTACAATCCAACAACTCAAATAATCAACAAGTTTCGAGTTCTAGCTCCCCTTACCTCCAGATTGAAGAGAAACAAAGAAGAAGGGGGGAGAAGACAAGCTTCTCCAGGGAAGCTCTACACGACTCAATAAGCTTGGATTCAAAACTCTACAAACTTGAATCAACAACACAACTTTTCAAAAGCTTTTGGAGAAGGATCAATCACTTTAAGACAGATTTAAGGAGGAAGAGATTCTCTCAAACTCCAAAGCCCTTCTCTCTAAACTATCTTTATAGGATTTCTTAAGAATGAGTTTATGAAACTCAAATCTTAAAAGAAATCTTATCTACCTTCTTCTTAGGGTCAAAATAGACCTCTCCTTAGAGAAATCCCTAAATCACCTAAAACTTAAGATAATTCTTTAATTCTCAAAGTTGCTCAACAAATCAACAACACATAATTATTAATAAAATCAACAATAATTAATAAAAATGTATACAGTTGCAAGTTTTATTTTATAGAAAAACTCTTTTTGAAAAAAAAAATGATTCTCCCTTTTATATACTTTAAGAGAAACTTATCTAAACAAACCTAATAATCACAAAAATTTTACTTGTGTTTAAAATATATTTCTAACTAGTTTTTTAGAATATGAGTTTTCAACTCAATTTAATCTTATTATAAAATTAATTTATTAGGTAAATTTTTTTTTACGTATTTTATTTTAATCAAATCATTGATTGTCAACATGAAAATTTAATATAATATCTTCTTCAAATTAAAGACTAAATATCTTGAATATAAAATTACATTACTAAATATTTATGGTTGATTTGATAACAAATCCATGAAATTGACAATAGAATTATTTCATTTTGTATTCACAGTTTTTTAAGATAATTTTGTTCCTAAAATCTATACTATTAAATTAGTCTCTAAATTCTTTTTTATATATAAAAATTACCCTTATAACTACAACTACTCAAAAACTGTTCAACCCTCTTATTATTAACCTCTCACTTTTATTTTATTTTTCTAAAAATACACCGAGAAAGACACTAATTTTAGGTCTAACTTATAAATTCTTACTCAAATTATATATTTTATTTTGACAACGAGATATTCAAAAATTAATTATATCTTATTTCTAAGAGAGTAACAATTATTATATCTTATTTCTAAAAATACAATGAGGCATACACTAGCATTTTATAATGTACATTTCAGTTCTTAGTATAAAATTTTATACTATATTATTTAATAACAATTTATCATATATATATATGTACGAATAAATTTATTAATTTTTAATAACTATCTTAAAAATAATTTTAAGAAATATTATTTTTTTCGATTAATAATATGTATTTTTTTTTTACTGGCAACAACATATGTATATTATCTCTTCTAATAAACATTTTAATTAATTTCTATAATAATTTTTTATATCTGAAAATAGAGATTATAAATTTGTTAAAAAGATATTTTGATGGACTTTACGAATAGTTTTATTAAAATAAACTATAAGAAAGTTACAAAAATTATAAATTACTTTTCATCAATGTAAGTAAACTCTAGTTCCTCAACAAACATCAATTAACTAATCAGTGGTGTAAGAAGGGACTATACTAAAAAGTATTTTCAATGAAAAAGTAAAGTAACTATGTTCACTAAGATACATTGAACCTCCCTCTAACATTTACATCAAGATGATGTCTATCTCAAAAGTCTCCGCAACTAACTTACTTTGTTGCTTATTTTTGACTAATATTCGGTGATATATACACAATTCCATGGAATAATTATTACTTTACTAATAACAATTATTCTATATTAATTATCGGTATTATAGTTTTTTTTTATCAAACTTAACACTTTTTGATCTGAAAAGAATCTATTGTTGATTTCACATCAGGAATTCTTATCTATACGAATATGCAATTCCTAAATAATAACATGATTTCTGATTGTAAATTATTTGATTTTCTTTAATTATGTTATTAGTCAAAATATTTATCAATTTTATTAATAATTAATTTTTATGAAAAGCTTTTTATTTAACTAATTTTCTTTTGTGAAGCCTTTAGTTTTATATATATATATATATATATATATATATATATATATATATTGTTGTGCACAGGGAGTTATACTACACACATACACATGTCTTCATATTGATAAGATATTGTCCGCTTTGGGCCTAAGCCCTCACGGTTTTGCTTTTGAACATCACATAAAAGGTTTCTTTACCAATGAAGACAATTGTGTGTATATAAACCCATGTCCATTCTCTTGTTTGAACGACGTGGGACTTTGCTTGCATCGGTGGTCCTACGAGTATTATTCGATGGTGGTCCATAGAGCTTACTCATGCTCTGAGTGCTTGGGACTTTGCTTGCATCGGTGGCCCTACGAGTATTATTCGATGGTGGCCTATAGAGCTCACTCATGCTCTGAGTGCTTGCACTGCTGCTCTATCATGACCTTCCTCATGATGGCGGGACACCACTCCTAACCCCAAAGCTCACAGAACTCACTCACACTTTAAGTGAGTGTACCGCCGCTCCATAATGACCTCCTTCATGATGGCAGGACACGCCTCCTAACCCTCCACCGTTTAGGAAGACTTTTGACACAAGGGATCCCAAGCTTGGATCCACCTAGCCGTCAAGCTGCACCGCCGCTCCATAATGACTTCCTTCATGATGGCAGGACACGCCTCCTAACCCTCCACCATTTAGGAAGACTTTCGACACAAGGGATCCCAAGCTTGGATCCACCTAGCCGTCAAGCTGCACTGCCACTCCATCATGACCTCCTTCATGATGGCGGGACACGCTTCCTAACCCTCCACCGTTTAGGAAGACTTTCGACACAAGGGATCCTAAACTTGGATCCACCTACCTGTCAAGTTGGTCACCTGACAGGACCATCGGCTCTGATACCACTTGTTATGCACCGGGGGTTACCACACATATACACATTTCTTCACATTAGTAAGATATTGTCCGCTTTACGCTCAAACTCTCACGATTTAGCTTTTGGACATCACATAAAAAGCCTCTTTACCAATAAAGACAAATATGTATATATAAATTCATGTTCATCCTCTTATTTAAATGATGTGGGACTTTGCTCACATCCCAACATATATATATATATATATATATATATATATATATATTCTTTTTAATCGGTTAAAATTTATTATAAATATAAAAATTAAGATATCTCATCCTATTTAATGATCCTCTCTTAATTTTTTGATTTTAAATAAATTTTAACTTGAAAGAAAAAACAACTAAAAAAATGTATTGCTAGCATTTTTATTATTTAACTTTGTTTTTTTCTTTTTTATGTATAAAATTATAACTAATATATTATTTAAGGGATTTAAGTTCAAATATAGAAGAAGCTTTTTCTATATTTAAAAATTATCTCTATTGTCAAGTAAAATTATAAACTTACGGTTCCAATATAGCTTTATATGTGCAAAAGTTTCATGATAAAAAATTAATTTTAATCTCTAAATAATTTAAATAAAAATTTGGATAATTTTTGCGTGGTATGTTTGAATTATTAAAAAAATATTTTATTAAAAATTAAATTTTCATTTCTTATAATTAATTATATAAAATAGGTTATGTATAAATTATATTTGTTAAAAATAAAAATAACCAATTTTATTGTTTTCTTTTAAAAAAATATTTATATGCTAAGTTGAAAAATATTAAAATATTTATGATAATTAATATTTTATTTAAAATTTATACAAATATATAAAAGAGATATTCTTTTTATAATCATTTAGGTCTTTGTTTTTTTCTGTTATAATTAATAACCTATTTACACTCTT